TTATGGGCCGAGTCCGTATCGGCCGAGTCTGTAATAGGCCGACTTCGTCAATGGTACGACACTGCTATGGGCCGAGTGAACCCGGCGCCATTTCTGGGACTGCATGTACTGCATGTACAGTGCGTTATTATGCAGTTTCTTAATCGGTACGACGGTAGTTTCAAATACCACTGTGGCACTGATTTAATATGTGCGCGCACAATTACTTACAACAAAAAACAAATTTACGATTAAATGTTTACTAAATATCACTATACTTGGATACCAACCCATCATCGGCATCGGGTCAACCACCTGTACGGTGTACATAGGGCCTACTGTACACACAACATTACACACAACACAGCAACAAATGGCTGCCAGTGGCAGCGCCCCTGTTCGATTTGTTCATTTCTCCGTTTTATTTACACATTTTCAACCGCATAATACGTTTCCGCGTATGATAAGCATATCAGATAAATTCATAATAATCTAAAAGTATTTGATTTTGTATACTTACATTTCACTTTGCATAAAGTAGGTCAGAAGTTCCTAACAATAACATACATCGGAACGGCGACAAAGACTTATTATCGTTAAACCTGGCAATCTTCGATTGTGACATGTGCATATAGAACTTCGTTACCCGAAGCGAGCACTCGTTACTGGCGGAACTACCCGAAGTAGCAGTGCGCTTTTCGCTGAACCCACTGATGCGCGTTACTGTTTAGCTACGGTCAGGCTACGGTTAGCATAGCATAGCTCCAAGAAACGGTATTATATTTCTAGGGTTAGAATACGTATATTGACGTTAGTAACCTGGTCGGGCTACGGTTAGCATAGATATTGCATACAGTTATTCAAGGGATAGTGGATCACTTCCTGCAAAATCATTCCTGTGAATCATTTATTAAAGATATGTTCCGTGCCAAAGCTCCAATGTTCGTCGTAACCATAATACAATCAGGATATAATCATAAATATATTATACAGAGATATCTGTATTCTATATCTATGAAATAATATAGTGTCTCTATATATTTATATGTTCGTAACATTCCATGGTGCAGCACAACATTCCATGACACCAAGTTCGACTGGTATTACTATTAGTGTTATGGTTGTAGGATTTTGTGGTAAACTGCAATCTCATCATAAATCAGAAGTAGATAATAGGGAAGAATTCCCTATTATCTACTCCTGTCATAAATGTATGTACGTCTGTATAAGCAGTAAAAAGATGTGATGTCAGTGTGTGCGTGCGTGCGTGCGTGGGGTCGCATATCTCTCTTCCCCTCTCTCTTTCTCTCTCTCTATTCCCCTCTCTCTTTCTCTCTCTCTATTCCCCTCTCTCTTTCTCTCTCTCTCTAGAGGCAGTGCGAATGCTCCCCTCTCATTCATTTCCCCTCAATATTTCCCTTTCCCTCTCGCGGATAGTATCGCCCACGGCATC